CAGCAGGAAATTAATGACCATCACAGGGATCCAATTTACAGCACAAGCAGCCAAAATATTTCGAAGTAACAGTAACGTAATATGCTGAATTAAGCCCAATCAAAAGGTCACAAGCTTGCAAATGCCAGCAGGGCAGCTGTATTCAGTCTGCTGGAGCAAAAACAAAAAGGAGTCTTCTTGAGGCATCTTGATGACGAACAGAATTATTGTGGCAGAAGCTTTCGTGGATTACAGTCCGCTTCATCAGATGCATGCAGTGTATGAGCATGCGGAAAGAGAGAGAGACAGCATGCAAAATTGATCACTAGGCGATCCAAATGCAACAAGAAGCCTAGAGCTCAAGAGTGCAGCTTCTCTACCCTTGTTTTGAGATGCCACTGTCTTTATCAATTGGTTTTGAATTTTTTTTTGGCTTAAGATGTTATTCATTTTATTGACTTCGTGTTTTGGAAACTGAGTTGGTTCGTTGTAACCCAGCAAAACTATATTTTGTCTACATTTTGTTTCGTACTTTATCTCCACCTGATTTCTAGACAAATTCTGCAACCCGTAACTGTTCTTCCCGTGGCAATATTAATCCCCCAATACTTCCTCCTCAGTATTACTTCCCCATTCCCATGATCTGTGTTGGCTCCGTCTTGGAAAATGTAAAGCAATACTGAAAAAGAGAAGGCCTCTAAACATATAGAGTGTATTTCCCTCATCACTGTTGGCTTCCTACATATCTGGAAACAGGACCGTAGCCACAGGTGTGGCATTTTGGGCAATGCCCCCCATGGCCCCCTCACCCCAGGGAGGACCCCCACACCCTCCCAACCCAGTGTGCCTTGCTTCACCCACCCCCGGGTGCGTCGTTGCCTCGTTGGCTCTTCCTTCCTTTCTCCTGAGGAGGCAGCCAGGCAGGGCAGCGGGCAGCCAGCCAAAAGAGGCATTGCCCTGCCCTCCTGCCTCCTCCTCGACTCTTGAGAGAGAGAAGGAGAGACACCACGCCCCCCATGCCCTCCGGCCAAAAATTTCCTGGCTACGTGGATATCTGGAAATATGAAATGAAGATCTTCTAGGACAGTGGTGGCGAACCTATGGCACGGGTGCCAGAGGTGGCACTCAGAGCCCTCTCTGTGGGCACGCATGCCATCACCCCAGCCAGGCCCAGACCATCATTAAAGTGTCGAATTCTCTGCCAAATAATTTTAAGTCAATGAAAGCATTTGGGATTGTTTTCCTTACTTTGTTTGGATCATCTTAAGTTAATGTATGAGTTGTTTTTTCTAAAGTAAAACCTCAGTATTCAGGTTAAATGGCCGTGTTGGCACTTTGCGATAAATAAGTGGGTTTTGGGTCGCAGTTTGGGCACTCGGTCTCTAAAAGGTTCGCCATCACTGTTCTAGGATAAAGAAAGGGACTACTAGGGAGGCTAGGGCTTTGGTTCGAGTTCTCAGGTTTCCTGATGTTCATACTCTGAGACAATGTAATACACAGGCATGAACACATGAGCATATGAAGCTGCCTTATACCGAATCAAACCATTAGTCCTTCAGGATCAGTATTCTCTGCTCAGACTGGCAGTGGCTCTCCAGGATCTCAGGCAGAGGTCCTTCATATCACCTACTGCCTGGTCCTTTTACCTGGAGATGCCAGGGATTGAACCTGGGGCCTTCTGCAGGCCAAGCGGATGCTCTCCCACTGAGCCATGGCCCATCCGGGAAGGAGGGGGTGGAGCCTAAAAGACCATTAGCAGTTATTGGGTTAAGACGAGAGAGTGTTGCAATGCCTCACGGTCAGGCCTGATGAAAAAGGAGGTGGAGCCAGTAGCAAAAATTCAAGCCAAGCCGCACCACACTCAGTGCTCCCTCTAAGCTGTGGAGTCTTGTGAGCAAGCATTCCACTTTGTGAGCTGCTGGCATTAAAGTTGTGAACAAGCGATTTGGCTACTGCATACATTGGTTTGCTCTGGAGCTGTCCTTCCCGAGCCAAGGCAAAAACGTGTGAGCCGGAGGCTAAAAAACTGTGAGCTAGCTCACGCTGACTCAGCTTAGAGGGAACACTGACCACAACTCCTTCAATTTAGGCAGTGCTCAGTGTGATGTATGCACCCCTCATTAGCTTTGTGAAGAGCCACAGGGATTAGGGTCACGTTGTCTGAGTTGGGGAAAGCCTGGAGATTTGGGGGAGGAGTCTGGGGAGGGCGGAGTTTGAGAAGGGGGAGGAACCTCAGTGAAATGTAATGCCATAGAATCTACCCCTCCAAAGCAGTCATTCCCCCCACCCCCACCCCGTAACTGATCTCTGTGGTCTGTAGATCAGTTGTAATTCTGAGAGATCTATAGGCTCCACCTGCAGGCTGGCAACTTCCCCAACGCCCCTTAGCTTCTGGCCCCTTATTTTATGTCTCTGCTGGGAGGCTCTGAGAAGGAGGCAATGGCTTTGTATCAGCCTTCGAGGCCTGGCTACACTTTCATTTAGGAAATGCACTTCCTAACGCACCTGCGCAAATGCGTGGCCCGGTCCTCGGTACATTAGAAACCCAGCAGGTCTGGCCTTTCTACTGATTTATAAGGCTTCCACTGTGGCCGCTATCCATCTGTGCAATTTGCCTTCATAACATCCCACCGTTCCATAAATGTTGCATTAGCACAGTTACACAATTCTTTTTACCACTTTCCTTTGTCTTGATTGGGCGGAAGGCCACGCAGAAATCGCCCGACAGGAAAGATGCAAAGCCAGTCAAGTTCAATTACAGTTGAATAAATCCTTCCCAACTCATTTTGGCTGTCTCCATCAGGGGGATTTATTCAGCACTAGACACAAAACGGCATCTCCTACCAATATACCATATCTGAAGACTCGGTTCTCTTCTGTGTGTGGTACGTGGCAAGCAGAAGCAGTTCTCTGTCTGGCAAACAGCTGAATAAATTCTCTGGATGAAGACAACTGAAACATGTTGGGAATGACTGAGCAGATTATAATTGTACCTTATCAACCTGGCCTCTTCCCTGTTGTCGGTTTCGGAGCTCTCCCCGCCCCCCCTTTGTTTCTGTGCACAAACACGCACATGAATGTTCTTTCACCACCATCCAAAATTCATTCCTATTTTCGCACATCCACAATGTAATCCCCAGATTTTATGCAGCACCGGGGTGCTCTGAACTGATTTCATGCTGTGTGAATTTACTAAAAGTAAAGTAACACAATGAGCGGGTCATCTGTTCTAAAAAAAACAACCACCCAAAAGGCACTTCATCACTTCTAGTCCTGCGTTTATCCAATTTGCAAAATGTAAAATCAGCACCTGGGGGAGGGGGCTGGGGATTTGTACTGGAATGATACAGGGCCAGTCTTGTTATAGGAAAGGAAATTGGCCCATTTCAAACTCCCGCAGCTTTTCTGCATTTCAGCTGCATGCACACACTACAGCCACACTGGGTTTCCAAAACTTCTGCCATCTCAGATTAGGAGCCTCTGAGTTTGTGCAGAGTGCATTTCTCTGAGCAGAAAAAAAACAAACCCAAAACCCTGAAAGGCATAGTGCCCCTCAGCATAGCACCCTGCCTTCTGGATAGAAAGTCACTTTTTAGAAATCCATTTAAAGACAGCGTTCTTTCAGACACATTTAAAAAGCATGCATACCACAGACACCCTTTAAAAAGCCCCTTAAGAAAACTAAGTCTGTTTGTACAAATAACAAAACCAATATGTACATTTTGTGTTTTCCTGGCTTTGTTTTCTCCTGTTAAGGAAACTGGCCAGAAGAAAAAAGTTCACTAGGAACTACGATTACAAAATAACTACGATTACCAACTCTGGTTTGGGAAATTCCTGGAGATTCGGGGGTACTGCCTGGGGAGGCTGGGATTTGAGAAGGAGAGGGGCCCCAGCAGACTATAATGCATTAGACTCCTCCCTTCAAAGCAGCCATTTTGTCCAGGGGAACTGATCTCTGTTATATGGAGATCAGCTGTGATTCTGGGAGATCTTCAAGTACCACTTGGAGGGTAGCAGCCCTGCACAACTGCCTGGCAAGCTGGCTACCCTACTGCTACCTTGCACACAAAATGTCCAGGTTCCTGGGGCACTACATCTCTAAATACCAAATACAGGGGATATGCAGAGGGGGCTCGTGCTCTTCTTGCGGGATGCAAGGAGGTCTCTGACTGGCCGCTGCTAGAAAGATGAGTCAGCACTAGATGGACTTTGATCTGATCCAGCAAGTCTGCCCTCCTCTTCATGACAGATACATGGGACCCCATGTACAGAGGCAGTATACCTCTGAAAGCCAGATGCAGGGGACATGCAACAAAAAACAGCGATTTCTTCTATCGTGTCCTGCCTGAGAGCCTTCCACGAGACATCTGGCTGGTTAATGCTGGTCACAGAACGCCAGGCCGCGTGACCTTGATTTGAACCAGCAAGGCAGTTTTGTTCTTCCGCGAGCCCGCAAACGCATACAAATTGCGGCTCCCACTTGTTGCGAAGCGGTGCCGAAGCGTTTGCTGAAGAACAACCCCACCGCAATGCTATTTGTTCCGAGCACAGTTTTCCACTCTAAGTAATTAGCCATTAGTTTTCCAAACGGAAATTGCGTTTACTGCTTCCATTAGCAACTATCAACCCCAAGTGTCTGAGGAAAGGCACAGACAAGCTCCGTACGACTCTTAATGGAAGCAGCAGCCCAAGGGAGGGTGAGGAAGGGCAACGACTACTCAGCAACAACAGTCTGTAGTATTTGAGCAAAGAACCAGGATGATATTTCTGGAGCGACAACACAGTGTAGGG